TTAGAAAAGAACTATTGAACCAGAAACCTTTTCATCTTCGCAGACAGTTAGGACCGGATACTAACTTATCCTTCATACTAGTAGTGAATAGTGAACTGCTGAGAAGCAATTAGCTCCCAGCTGAGCTGTCCGTCAGAGCGTCCCAGTCGTTTAGTTTGAGAGTAGATTACTGTTTTATCTTCTCCAACGACACTCCCACTAAATGTCGACTTATTTAGCCTGTTTCCATGGTTAGTCTATATAGCTACCCTTTTTTCGTATTTCGTTTCGTTGCCATCATTTCTACCAGTCATTTGGTAGACTTTTAAGTTGCCTTCGTTTTCCACCGTACTCGCACCTCGTCGTGATGAGTCCTGAAGCTTTCTTTGATTCAGTAGACTACTGAGATCCACTGATCTATCTTAGGTTGATCATGAGCATTATTACTTTTACAGCTACATCAAAATGGACGTTCTCAACACTCCACCGAGATTACTTAGTCGGTTATACATCAATGGGATTTACATCTTCGTGCTGGGCTCGAAAAAGTTATCGTGTAACTGTCCAATACCTAGTAACGACCAGATGTACGGGTGCTCAGATCAGTTAGTGACCGAAATTTAGACGTCGCTAAGAATAATATGGGTTTTTATACCTGGCCGTCCCACTGATAGTGATACAGTTTATACGTTTTCCATCAGTGTCAGAGTTGCTAAATCAATTAGTGTTTTTTACGATTGAATCTGGTACTCACCGGAAATCGCCGTTCATTTCAGGGAGATGGCCGTCATCTGATTGTTGAACTAGAATTTAAATACCTCGACCTAGGTATTAGTTTCCTTGACTTCGCCTACCTACTTAGCAATAAAAATCGTTAACTGAATATATTTGAGCCCCCGGTTTTTAGAAAAGGGTTCGTAGCGGTCAATAAACCCTCAGAATAAATAGCTCTGCGAGTCTTCAATACAGATTCTGACATGGTTAGTTTTACTGGACACATCCTTGTCGAAGGCATTCATCCTGACCAGATCACGAGTGTGTACACCATACTACGCATCTCTTGCAACTACTAGCCAACTTAGATCAAACGATTCTCAACACATCGATAACCTCCTACACATATATTCGAACTCATTTACTCTTGACTTCTGTTTTGACTAGGTTGGTAGCCTTTGATTAAAAGGGTTACAGACGATGGCGATATCAAACCTTGAATATCTGTGGCATATTTATGTTGTACTATCGGCTTGACTATAACTAGTAAGAGCTGACAGGTGGTGATACGCGATTTTGTGCTTCCGAGTCCTTGTAGTACTTTGTCGGACAAAGCACAATGGGCTACCGGCTGAAACATCTGGTTAAGGACCGTTGGTTCTACTTTAGAGTGAAAATCTAGAGTTACACATGCAAAGAATAAGCGGGATTTTCAGCAAGCCTTCAGACTCCTGAACATTGAGCTGCACTGATTTCCCGGACTTCTTACTATAAGGTAGGTAAGTGACGAGGCTTGTGTTTTGTAAGTCATAAAGAACTAGTTTACAAATATCCGGATGTATTTTCATATACTATCTGATGACGTTATACACAGCAAACTTGAATCCCATGAGATGTTACTTAACGGAAGCACAAGAGATCCCTTGTATATGTGCCGTGACATAGTGTCATCTAGATGAACTGGTTAGCTTGCGAAATCATGTTGCCTGCGACTAAAAACCATGAGTCGACAAAGAACCCTGTAGTATTTGCACTGTCTGACGATTCCTATGTGCTTAATTGCGTGCTTATCACGAATTCTAAGCGTAACACAATCAGTCGTACTCACCTAGTTCTACCTGTCCCAAACTGGAATATTCTGAGAATCCTCAGTTAATGAATCAATTAGTGTTTATAATTATCACTATTTCTTGAGGTTTAATCTAAGAAGCAAAGACATCTTAGTTTCCGCAGTCAATCAGTGTCTTTAGGATGCTGCGTTCCGTTTGGCAGGACCTTGTTGTCTGAACCCAATAATAAGATACTCAAATAAAACCCAAAAGCCTGAGATCTACATGATAGTTTGGGACTCGTTTTGTAGGTCTTTTCCAGGCAATGGACAATAAAAAGTTCCGTAACCTACTTTCCTCGATTTAACTTCATCAATGCCATCTCACCAGTTTCAGATGCTCATGATCTCACTATATCAGATATTACGATGTATTTGTTTAGCCCATTTAGGCGGATGTCAATGCAATAATACTGTAGAACAGCAAAAACCTTCAAGCTTTTTACTTGCTTATTATTATGGTTAACGAGAATCAAAGAAGTGATACCGATTTGTTCAAATCTCACGCTACATATCGGATATCCTGTGATGGAATGTCATGCAGAGGCTACAGCTAGAAACATGAAATTCAGTCTTCATAGTTACGACATCAAGTTAACGGTGTATGGATTGTAGCATCCGGTCTGTGCTCCTTGTCTATCTTTGACAGCACATATGGAATAGACATGATTGCGCTAATAAGTCAGTCAGCTAGAGTCCCATCGTTCGCACCATAGGTATGATAGGATATATAAATTAACCGGTGATCACAGACGACGCTAGTTAGTGACTACTAATCAAGTTGATTTAGTCCTGAAACCTAATACTAAGGAGTCGAAAACCCCAGAATGAAACCTAGATATGCCTGAGGCATTAGACGTACAAAGTATTTATGAATACCCGATAAAAAACAAACATTATAGAACGGACATTGTATTAGCCAAGTTTACAATCAGATATCGAAATATGAAGTGTAACGTTAGTCACGTATAAGACATTTGGTTTTTTGCATTAAAACATTAACAAGTTTAAAAAGAAAATGGAAAAATGCAAGCGACAAATGGGCCGAAATTCACTTGTTTATTATTGCGGAAATCTAGTCACATGGTTACATCACATGTACACAACAGATTTTGCGAAACCAAGAAACATGTGAAGTAGGAAGAAAAAGGCCAATCGCCGTTGTCTCACAGCACTTTGAATGAAAATGCAAAAGACTTATTAATTCTTGCCACCTGAATCTTTAGTGATTGGAATTGTTTTCTTCACAGTATGTTTTTACTGTTTTCTCGACTTGTTGATGATATTATAGTGAAAAATCTGAAGCGTTCTTAACCTTCAAACTTTATTTTCAAACATGTTTGTCAAAACGGCAAATTATTTGTTGAGTATGATATGCGTTTTAATTGTTGTGTGAAGCTCTTTATCATGTGGTGATGTGAACGTTTATGCTTCTGCTGAACGTGAGGCCTACGAAAAGTCAGAGATTATCGGTGGTTGTGGTCGTGCAAGAACACTCACTGTAACCACTCTGAGTAAATAGTCTAATCGTCTATGAATCATAAATCATTCAGAGAATTCCATATTTTTCACCTCCGGTAAAGTTTCGCAGTTACCTGACTCTAATACCTTTACAGCTTCTAAGGATTCCTGTTTGGGCTCCTTCATGTTTTATCGTAATTGGATGTTTTTCGATGTACAGTTTGGTGCAAACGTGAATTTTTAATCCGTTAAACTAAAGAAGTTATTAATGATTTGATAAGTCAAGTGCATATTTCTCCGTCTGTACTGAACAGGATTCAGATGCAGATGTTTCTGGGACTCAAAGTTGGGTTATCGTTCTAGTGCGAGATTTTCTATTGATTTTCTCTGGACAGCCTTCAAGAGATCACGTAAGAGAATATGATGCTGAGGTTTTTTTCGAATAAGTTCTTTCGCAAGCACAAGAGACTGTTTTAATTAATTTTGGAGTCAAGCTGCTTAATCAAGAAAAGGTATGATTAAGATGACCTGAAGTGATTATTTGTATTATATGAAAAGATGAACTTGGGAACGATATCCTTAAGATTCTACAATTAGTTCGTGTCAGTCGGATGATGTTTGTTTAGCCGGGATATTCATTCGTGGTCTCCCTTTTCAATGAGATAATAAGCTCTTCAGAATTTCCCCAGAGAGCAATTACATTCGATTGTATGCCGTACAATTACTTTCTAATCTCATGAGGTTTGATTGTAACCGCTGCACACTACGATATAAATAATTAATGCAAAAGTGTCGCAAGCTCCGCAAGACTAGAGTTTAGATAGGTTTTGATAAATTTCCTTGAGTTTTTAAGAATTACGAGTCCCGTTCGGCCTGCCTGAGTTGCTATACTTACACTTGGGATATCAAAAGTATGTGAGTAGAAGCCTTAGTCAATTGTAATTTGTCGGGGAAATTCGTTTCAGGATTGTAATCAGTTGAAAGGCTGGTTTTACGTTTCATTTATGAATCTGAATTCCTTTTAAGTAAGTATAAAGGTTATTATATCAGGATTTGAGGATTGCCATTAACATGCCAGGGGAGTTCTGAGTTGCTTAAAGAACTCAAATATAGGCAGTGAGACGACTTATGTGTCTGAGGAGTCTCGCAAAAGATAGCGAGTATACTAACTAGAGTGTATCTGTCTGGTATGTTTGTAATATGAAAACTAAACACACAGCTACCCATGTGTATTTTCAAGGGCCATATGAAATGGCACTGCATATTTTGTGCCTCATTCAAGCAAGACAGTATGCTTACAAAATGAATCATGAAATAATTGTAGATAATTTGGTTTCACTCTGATGATAGAAAGTTTATAGTTATGTGGAAGGTAAGCGCAATGTAGCATCAACTCCAACCAATACTGTTTGCAGACAGTTGTTTCGAGAACCTTTTGGACGGAAAATTATTCAGAACAAGATGACTAATTATACATTAGCTTGATGGCATGTTTAATAATTTGAATACTTCACTGTGATAATATCTAGTCTTCCAAAGAGTAGAGTTGCATACTTTGAACAAAATAAATGGAATCAAGCTTACACTAATATTTCGACCGATATGTGGGATAGCATGGATAACCAAATCAGTTTTGTAACTACATTCACTTGAAAATTATGGTTCCAGGCTGCGCATTAACTTTGAGGTTGTTTTATCAGTTAAAGTAATAAAATTTCTCTTATCAAAACATTTATAATTAAATAGTTATGAGGATATGAAGATTTTGCCAACCACCATTTTGTTATTTGAAGTAACTTTGTTAGACTACTTTGTTTGGCTGGTACTTCCATACAAAAAGTAGTGTGGCTATTTCAATCCCCAGTGACGTAAGGCGCTTAGGTCACAACACTCTAGGAATCATCTTCAGTTAATATGGGTGGAGTTTTTTCAAATTTGTTCAGTCGTCTGTTCGGCAAAAAAGAAGTCCGTATCCTGATGGTTGGTCTGGATGCTGCTGGCAAGACAACAATATTGTACAGGTTAAAACTTGGGGAAGTTGTTACAACTATCCCTACAATTGGATTCAATGTTGAAACAGTGGAATATAGAAACATTAGTTTTACGGTGTGGGATGTCGGTGGTCAAGATAAAATACGTCCTTTATGGAGACATTATTTCCAAAACACTCAAGGTAAAGCTATTAAAGTTGGGGCTTACATTCCATAGGTTTAATATTCGTGGTTGACAGTAATGACACTGATCGCATTGGGGAAGCAAAAGACGAGTTGTTCCGTATGTTACAAGAGGATGAGTTACGAGATACACTTCTTTTGGTCTTTGCAAACAAACAAGTACGGTTTACATTCTCAAAAATTACAGTAATTTTTAGGATCTACCAAATGCTTTAAAGCCTACTGAGCTTACAGATAAATTAGGACTACATCAATTACGGAACCGCACATGGTATATTCAAGGAACATGTGCCACAAACAGTTCTGGTTTATTTGAGGGTTTGGATTGGCTCTGTCAAAATTTAGGCGGCAAGAATTAATAAGTCTTTTGCATTTTCATTCAAAGTGCTGTGAGACAACGGCGATTGGCCTTTTTCTTCCTACTTCACATGTTTCTTGGTTTCGCAAAATCTGTTGTGTACATGTGATGTAACCATGTGACTAGATTTCCGCAATAATAAACAAGTGAATTTCGGCCCATTCGTCGCTTGCATTTTTCCATTTTCTTTTTAAACTTGTTAATGTTTTAATGCAAAAAACCAAATGTCTTATACGTGACTAACGTTACACTTCATATTTCGATATCTGATTGTAAACTTGGCTAATACAATGTCCGTTCTATAATGTTTGTTTTTTATCGGGTATTCATAAATACTTTGTACGTCTAATGCCTCAGGCATATCTAGGTTTTATTCTGGGGTTTTCGACTCCTTAGTATTAGGTTTCAGGACTAAATCAACTTGATTAGTAGTCACTAACTAGCGTCGTATGTGATCACCGGTTAATTTATATATCCTATCATACCTATGGTGCGAACGATGGGACTCTAGCTGACTGACTTATTAGCGCAATCATGTCTATTCCATATGTGCTGTCAAAGATAGACAAGGAGCACAGACCGGATGCTACAATCCATACACCGTTAACTTGATGTCGTAACTATGAAGACTGAATTTCATGTTTCTAGCTGTAGCCTCTGCATGACATTCCATCACAGGATATCCGATATGTAGCGTGAGATTTGAACAAATCGGTATCACTTCTTTGATTCTCGTTAACCATAATAATAAGCAAGTAAAAAGCTTGAAGGTTTTTGCTGTTCTACAGTATTATTGCATTGACATCCGCCTAAATGGGCTAAACAAATACATCGTAATATCTGATATAGTGAGATCATGAGCATCTGAAACTGGTGAGATGGCATTGATGAAGTTAAATCGAGGAAAGTAGGTTACGGAACTTTTTATTGTCCATTGCCTGGAAAAGACCTACAAAACGAGTCCCAAACTATCATGTAGATCTCAGGCTTTTGGGTTTTATTTGAGTATCTTATTATTGGGTTCAGACAACAAGGTCCTGCCAAACGGAACGCAGCATCCTAAAGACACTGATTGACTGCGGAAACTAAGATGTCTTTGCTTCTTAGATTAAACCTCAAGAAATAGTGATAATTATAAACACTAATTGATTCATTAACTGAGGATTCTCAGAATATTCCAGTTTGGGACAGGTAGAACTAGGTGAGTACGACTGATTGTGTTACGCTTAGAATTCGTGATAAGCACGCAATTAAGCACATAGGAATCGTCAGACAGTGCAAATACTACAGGGTTCTTTGTCGACTCATGGTTTTTAGTCGCAGGCAACATGATTTCGCAAGCTAACCAGTTCATCTAGATGACACTATGTCACGGCACATATACAAGGGATCTCTTGTGCTTCCGTTAAGTAACATCTCATGGGATTCAAGTTTGCTGTGTATAACGTCATCAGATAGTATATGAAAATACATCCGGATATTTGTAAACTAGTTCTTTATGACTTACAAAACACAAGCCTCGTCACTTACCTACCTTATAGTAAGAAGTCCGGGAAATCAGTGCAGCTCAATGTTCAGGAGTCTGAAGGCTTGCTGAAAATCCCGCTTATTCTTTGCATGTGTAACTCTAGATTTTCACTCTAAAGTAGAACCAACGGTCCTTAACCAGATGTTTCAGCCGGTAGCCCATTGTGCTTTGTCCGACAAAGTACTACAAGGACTCGGAAGCACAAAATCGCGTATCACCACCTGTCAGCTCTTACTAGTTATAGTCAAGCCGATAGTACAACATAAATATGCCACAGATATTCAAGGTTTGATATCGCCATCGTCTGTGACCCTTTTAATCAAAGACTACCAACCTAGTCAAAACAGAAGTCAAGAGTAAATGAGTTCGAATATATATGTAGGAGGTTATCGATGTGTTGAGAATCGTTTGATCTAAGTTGGCTAGTAGTTGCAAGAGATGCGTAGTATGGTGTACACACTCGTGATCTGGTCAGGATGAATGCCTTCGACAAGGATGTGTCCAGTAAAACTAACCATGTCAGAATCTGTATTGAAGACTCGCAGAGCTATTTATTCTGAGGGTTTATTGACCGCCACAAACCCTTTTCTAAAAACCGGGGGCTCAAATATATTCAGTTAACGATTTTTATTGCTAAGTAGGTAGGTGAAGTCAAGGAAACTAATACCTAGGTCGAGGTATTTAAATTCTAGTTCAACAATCAGATGACGGCCATCTCCCTGAAATGAACGGCGATTTCCGGTGAGTACCAGATTCAATCGTAAAAAACACTAATTGATTTAGCAACTCTGACACTGATGGAAAACGTATAAACTGTATCACTATCAGTGGGACGGCCAGGTATAAAAACCCACATTATTCTTAGCCACGTCTAAATTTCGGTCACTAACTGATCTGAGCACCCGTACATCTGGTCGTTACTAGGTATTGGACAGTTACGCGATAACTTTTTCGAGCCCAGCACGAAGATGTAAATCCCATTGATGTATAACCGACTAAGTAATCTCGGTGGAGTGTTGAGAACGTCCATTTTGATGTAGCTGTAAAAGTAATAATGCTCATGATCAACCTAAGATAGATCAGTGGATCTCAGTAGTCTACTGAATCAAAGAAAGCTTCAGGACTCATCACGACGAGGTGCGAGTACGGTGGAAAACGAAGGCAACTTAAAAGTCTACCAAATGACTGGTAGAAATGATGGCAACGAAACGAAATACGAAAAAAGGGTAGCTATATAGACTAACCATGGAAACAGGCTAAATAAGTCGACATTTAGTGGGAGTGTCGTTGGAGAAGATAAAACAGTAATCTACTCTCAAACTAAACGACTGGGACGCTCTGACGGACAGCTCAGCTGGGAGCTAATTGCTTCTCAGCAGTTCACTATTCACTACTAGTATGAAGGATAAGTTAGTATCCGGTCCTAACTGTCTGCGAAGATGAAAAGGTTTCTGGTTCAATAGTTCTTTTCTAAAAGCGTTGAATGAACAATACATGGTAATTCAGTTGTAAGCATTTTTCAACCAAAATGATCATGAAATATGCTATCTTTGAATACACCGACTAACACTAGACAATGCTTTGTAGTTTATAAAAGAATGGCTGTAATAAAACATGTCATGGATCCAGCGATTTTTTGTTTAAATTGAGGCTTTATTCATTTGGATAATCCACCTACCTGAAAATTCGCATGTCTTAGTAATTTGTTACCCAATAAAGCGTAAATAACTTTTCTAAATTTGTATTGTTAAATTTATTCAAGTTCCAAACTTGGGTATCTAGTTGATCGATATTTACCAGCAAACTACGTGATCAAAGCATAATCCGAATTAACAATGTTGATGATGTAAATGATCAACTGAGTTGGTTTTTCATGTTTCGTTTGCCCCCGAGCTGAGTGCCTCTTACCAAAGGAAGAATGATATGGCTAGTTCTCGGTCTAAACATGAAAACTGAGAGTGCTTCTTAAGTCTTAAACACAAACTAACTTTTGGGAATGTAATATCAGGGCTATTCACGACGGAATAAAAGCTGTGTTGCAGATGGTAGATTTAATAATTAAAACTCACAAATGAATTTGAGTTCTTAAAACTAATAATTCATCTTAAAAAGATATGCAACCAAGAACTTCAAGATGCCAGTACTAATTCTTCTAACGCCTACAGATGACAAGTTTATGAGATTCAGTTAGTATCTAGCGCTTAGTAGGATTTCTCCTATCCAATGTCCTAGTGAAGATGTGATGCAAAAACTCAGTAGCTACATTTGAAAACCCCCAATAATAAACAGCTAAACTGTATGGTTCGTTAACACTGTTCGTTCTGTTTCATAACCATTTAACGACCAAATAATGCATCTACCTCTATTCTATAGGATATTATTTGGGGCCCGAATATCTCAATCGAAACACCCTGACTGAATTCATCAGGCTACGGAACCAAATGAAAGGGTAGTAATAAGTCATTAGAAGGCTTTACGCACAAGATTTATGCGTAATATTTGTGGTAAGTTAACATTGTGTCATAACACGGCATAAGTTATTCAAAACAGACAAAGAACGATTAATGCGATTGATAAGCGGTGTAGGGCAAAATGCGATGCCTTTGTATTGATTCAAGGTTTTGAGACTTTTCGAAATTTGACTTAACATGTTTATAAGCGATTGTAATGGCCAAGAATGTATTATTACTGCACTTCTAACGAACTGATTTGGATTGCAAATAAGCTCATCATCAGTGCTCAATCTTCTCAAGTAGTGAACTAAGTAAGATAAACAGGTAGTTTCAGGAGATACCAGCCAGTCAATGAATAAATAAGACGAAAAGCCGACAGATTTCGCCAAACAAGCGAACAACCAATGGGCATTGGGAACAGCATGGAGAGTCGTTTGCTGATATAACCTAAGAAATGGAAAGAAGGACAAAAAGAATGAAATTGAACTTTCAGAATAGCAAGATTTAATTTTTTTATTGTAGTTATTTTTTAAATGGTGATATATTACATATTACACTTACCATGGAGACAAGCAAAATAATATTGTGAAGTTTTATCTGTGCATTCTCGATGAATAAGTAATTTCAGTGCAATGAATATCTAAAGTAAACACATTTACCTCCTGACTACTCTATTTATACATTATGTAACAACGATCACATTTCTTACAAAACTTATTGATTACTATATTATAAACATATCAGTCAAAAACGAAACAAACAACACGATATGTTTTGATATACGATCAGTAAATATTATAAAACAATTTAGATATTTTCTTCCACTCACCAATATATGATTTTATTCAGACTAGATTATCTGGTCAGCCTGAGTTATCACAAAAATTTGCACAAACAATATGTTGAACTTATTAACTCTCCTTCATACCTAACGGTAATTAAAACTACTAAACTCTTTTCAACAGAACTTCAAGATCGTAGTTGTTAAGAGAAAATTTAAAAGGCTAAATATTGTAGATAGAATATAACAGCGAGCATAAAGTGAGGAAAAGGGAAAGAATAAATAGAAAGAATAAATATTTAGTTTAGATTAGTTATCCATCATTCGTTCAACAATCATACATTCTGGCAATAATGTCAGATGATTAACTGCATAATAAAACAGTTAATTCTTCGGTATACAATGAACACTCATTTCCAATACAACGGCGAATATTATAGACAATCAGATAGTACAAATATGAGGAGTGGTCCTTGCAAAATTGTAGAATGAACTCCTTATGGACGTGACTAAACTGCTAACGCTTTACTGTTTCTATATTGATGATGCTTTTATATTGGTAAAAAACGAAGTCGAAAAGGGTAATTAGCTTAACATGGTTGACAATATTTTTCCACAAATTAAGTTCTTTTTAGGCGAAGAGCCAAATAATAGAATCTCACTTTTTTAAATCCTATCGACAAGAAGATTCGATAGAACATTATAAATAGGTCAAGTGAACAATATACCCATTTCTACAGTTCTGCATCACTTAAGTACAAATGAAACTTAATGAATATCTTGACTCATTGTACTAAATTGGTTTGCTCTGACACCAGTGAAAAAGAATTAAGAAGTATCCGTAACCTACTTAGCAGTAATAGATATTCTACCAAATTCATCGACAAACACATTAACTAGATACAAGTAAGGCCGACTACAATTGCTGTCCCAAAAAAGTCATTAATTTTGAAACCACAGTTCAAAAAAGATGCTGCTTGTGACATGATAGCACAACCGTTAATACAGACATTAAATAAGTCATTAACTGCAGCCAAGTAAAATATTGTATTTTAAAATGGTCCTGGAACAAAGACAAACCTTCTGAATTCGTTATATCTGGTTGCATTTATTCGTTTAACTGTTCATGTGGAGCCATTTACATAGACGACAGACTTAAGCAATTCCGTCAACTATACGTTACTATGCTGTATAGTTGAGTAAAGGGTAACTAGGGACGAACCTAGTGAAGTTCCATACAATATGCTGAGAGCCATATATGTGGAAATGATACAACACGAGTACACGAACATGGGTTCTAATCCGTTATCCGGTGCCAGTCAGTTGAGTGTACAAACTACTGAGCTACGGTCCAGGGCGATTAAATGTAGTTCCTGAAAAAGATGTGTCGATAATATCACGAATTAGTTTTTAGTTACAGTTACACCACTACGACAGTCCATTCTGTGGTCATGTCATATACGCATCAAATGTAATTTGATAAAAGAAAACCTGGGGAATCAAAAAACAATAATCTTACTCTGTAGATTTGATATGGTCCTCAATCTGTATCCATAGGTCCAATACTCGGAAAAGTTGTGCATCATCCTCGGAAAATAAGATAATTATTGAATTTTCATAGCTATGTACCATATTTGATTCACCCAACTCAATATCCATTAATAGTTCATGAATAGAGCTTAATATTGACCAAAGTTGTAGATCATTAGGATCTAAAATTAGATGAGAGTTCTATTTTATGTAACGATCAGGATTACTAATGTATTCCGCCACAATACATATCTTTGTGTCTATTGGGAAAGTCCTACGACGCAAAGCATATTGCCAAGAATATTTACAATAGTAGTGGTTAGCAAACACTTTAACATAATTCATGAAGAAAAAAGTAATTTCATGCCTCACTTCACGTTTTAAAATCACTATATATGGTGTAGTTTTACTAATTATATGAAGAGCTTTGAAACCTATATACCAGATAGGGAAAATGACAGTTCACTTGAAATCGAGAATTGGTTCAACGAGAAAAATATTTAGACACGATTAGTCAGTCTTTTAGCAGTACAGTAAATTAGTCAAAAGTTGTTTGCCAAATAAACAAAACATAGAATAATCAGCGTATTGACAAATAAAGAAATAAACATAATCGATATTGTTAATTGCGTAATTATTACTATTCAACCAAGAGAGTAAGTGTCCATAACGGAATAGATAAAATCGAGATATTAGGAAACTTCAGGTACTTCAATTTAATAACTTCTAAGAACTCAACAAGCGGATGTAAAAACATGAAACCGTACAAGTTTTACTAACCGAGAATTTCTTAAAATCCAACTACGCATTGTCGAGTACAAACGTAACTTATCAGGTTTCAAGTGGTGTTTGTTCTCATCGATTCTATCATACGTTCAGTGTATGTGTGGTTGAAATGTGATTCTGACTTGAAAGTTTTTGACTACTTTTGTCTGAGAACTATAATGCTAGTGTTCTAAGCTGAGTTGCTCACTAGTTAGGTAGTAAGAAAAAGACTTTTGTTAATGAGTATCATGGACAGTGTGATATACTCGTGTTAAGACTCGTCAGAAAACAAACTGATCATTTTATTTATACTGAATAGAGCAAAATACTTCAAAGCTCTGCATATTAACCTGACTAAGTGAGTAGTATTCGTTAGGAAGCAGCAGAAACGTTCGTAAGAAATGTTATTTGTCTGATAGAAACTATGAAGTCACCTTAACCCGCACTGAGAATGTTAAGTAAAAGACTTAAGCTAGATGCTAGTAACCAAAGTAATTAATGGAGAGAGGAAATAACTGTCAAAGTTTTGATCTACACGAATATCCATAGTTACATATGTTATAACCCAATGCAATATAGTATAGAAGGGGGGTTGATTATCATCTAAAATCAACAAACTTACCTAATTTTAAAGCACTTTCGAGACCACACAGAATAATAATGCGCAGAGATAAACAAGTATCTAGTTCAAGCAAAGATACTTCATCAGATTTAATTTTTTGAGCTTTTATAGTACGCACGATATGAGTAAGCAGACAATCACAAAAAGCGTTGGAATCAGAGATTTCTCTTTTAGACCTTTGTGAACGGGAGTATGAACACAGTAATTCGTATATAAGTTTGTTCACTATAGGATGTAGATTATTGACCCATAAATGATCGGATTTATACACAAGTTTATACAGCGTGCGCAAACTGCGTATGAAAAAGACTGGCCAAATCGATGAAGAAACATCCACGAGGAATTTTGAATATTTTGTGAAGTATTCAATTAAGCAGACATGTAGAACATCAACTAAAATCTAGTAGATCATAAGAAATTAAATTGTATCTGCACCAAACGAGATGAAGCGACAAAATAAAACTTATACCACAGAATTATTTTAAGCAACAACACATCCACTTACAAAGACAAAACTATTCCAGTTTTAACTGATTTTGTTCCCTCATATAAATAATTAGCTATGAGATAGAATAATTTGCACTTCGTACATAATTTTAGTTTAAGCGATGATGTGATATCGTTAGCAATTACATAGGTGTGGATTGTAAAATAATACATTAACAGTAACGGGATAACCCTAAATACTAATTGAAATAATGAAGAATGAAGTACATACTCTGTAAGACGTGGTTATCAAAATTTATCACTCTTCTATTGACGCCATAGTCGAATTAACCAAAAAACGGAGTGAAGTGAAGTTGATGCTGAGTGATTACGATCCAGTAGTGAAACTACCAGTTAACAAGAATACTACGTTGAATTGTTTCTCCATAATCACGACACTCTGTTCACAGACTATATCAACACTATTCATTCATAATAAGTAATTATTAAACTATCTGAGAAATTTGTAGAAAATATAAAGTTACTTTTTAAATTTGAATAATTTTAACTTGCTTTCTGAAGTGATTATCAACTATAAATAACACTGTTCTACATGATAGTAGAATTTGATGTTAATCAGATTATTTACCATACTTTTCACTGTTCAACGCTCCTAAACTCTGTATAATTTCATATACCACGCATTGAACCAGAATTTTAAATTATATATATAGTCTTTCAGACAGCGATTTGATATTTGGAAAATAATTACACAAGTTATTAAGAGTTACATGTGATAAAAAATCGATAAAATCATGAAAGTGAACTTAGCCCTCATTCCTAACTCAACTGAAATATTTTTAAAATGCATAATGTAATGATAACAAAGATAGAAGAACTACCACCACATATATAACTATGAGTTATTGAAATGCAAAAATATTTATTAACAAGTTTCTGAATTGTGACCTGGAAATAAATTTGAACGTGTATAAATAATGCTTGGTTTAAATATCTTATTCTGAAGTGGTACTATTTCTGACCACATCTTTTACCTTAAACTGACAGTTTGTAGAACTATACAGAAACGAAGATTAAATAAATAGTCATTACTGGAAACATGAGATGATACGTATTATAAATCTAATTATTCCTTATGTTTGATGCATATTCTGTTTTTACACTGAACTTATGCCAACAATCTTCAATCCATACTTAATGCCAAAAAGGTGTGAAAATATGGTACTTTCAGACCATATTCTTCTTCCCTATTATAGGTCCAATTATAGGTATATATGTAATATTTCTTCATTTTCCTAAAAAAATATTTATCGGCAAATGCATAATCAAATTGTTTTAAATATGTATTGGATAAACAAATTATTCTGTGTAGATCAACTTAGACCTTTCATTACAATACCCATATTTTCATAGCAGGTAACACAGAAACTCAGGATATTCGTATATATTTTAGGCATTCAACTGGGAATACTTGGAAATAATTATCATAACTGAATAACACGTAGATACCGATTTGTAGTAGATTATTGGTGGAATCGTTGGTATTAGAGAATATAATTACAATTAATGAAGATGAGATACTCCCTCTGGATTGAAAAAAGTTGCTTTCCATATATCTGACAGTCAATAGGGGAGAAAAACCTTGGAAACAGGCTAACAAAACTTGCAACTATGGATAATTTAGATCCGATTTGCAAGTAATTTTTGTTACTATTTATATCTTTCATAATTTCACTTAAATTGTACGATTGTGGTTATTGACTAAAAAACATAAAGTTGTCACGCAAAACTCCTGATTAATATATTGATTGGTCCCCACTCAATATACTTGTCGTTTTACATACTCTTGTTCTTTCTCGATTCCCGTTATCACATAATCAGGTTTATAACATACCTGTTGCTTGCATCTTAATCAGTGCTTAAATCATTAGTTTGATCAATTATATATTATCGTAATCAAGTGTACCCATTGTCATGTATCTACTAATTTTACTCTATAATTGCGGAATTGACTACTAGACCTTTGTAAACACGCAACAATGCATTTATCAACAAGTAACTCTCTGTGTAATCTGTTTATATTTACTTATTGTATTAACGGATTTTGCGTACAATCATTTACATAAAATTATTGTTATTTGTGTACTTGTAGATTTATCTAATTTATATCAGTTGAACATAGTTTTCGGTTACACTCACATTTACATATATATTTATTTATTATTTGCTGATATTGTCACCTGTGAATCGGTAACTCTAAACGCCTATTATATAAGCATTAAAAGTAAGTCACTCTATCGAACTACATAAATGTAATGATCAGTTTAATGAGAGTCGATTCAATATCAGAAATTAGACACCCTACTTAAGGTCTCAATAGAGAAAGAATATAGTTCGCTCAGGTTGATGCACTCCTTCTTGTAAATTCTTTACGTCTTTAAGATAAAAACTATCCATACGTGGTTGGTCTGCCTCCTATAGAGATAGTCGATGGGGTTCGGAACCCAATTGATCAGGTAGCTGAAGAAAAATTGTACTCCGAAGTAAAAACAGCGGCAACTCAACGTAATACGGCTTCTGACGAGAAGAAACTACATCAGTTACTAACGGCTTGAGATCTAGTTGACAGGCGACTGTCACAACCGTTGAAATACATGATGCAACAAATGGAGATGTATAAATTAGATGAATAGGTCTCTAAACAGATGCAGCTACAGAAGTTACTCTACAATATGACATATTGAGAGTTCCAGTGCAAGCCCCAAGCACGCATGGCCAATAAGATGAAGGAAGTACGTCCGGACGCCAGTAGTATTAACACATTACAATCAACTGCATTGGCCGGTAGTGTCGACAGAGTAGCAGAACCTTTCCAGTAACAGCTAGGTGATCTGATATCGAAATTGGCCTCCTTCCAAGGTATGAGATCTACTCTTTACAAAAGACGTACACGGTCCCTTTCACATGAAAGGGAATTTGGAGGAGTACGCTTACACATCAAGTTAACAAACAGATGCGTTGGTATTGTCTGAAGTACGGCGATAAAGCGAATGTCCGGCGCTTTAACCGGATTCCAAATCAATGGTGCACATGGGCTCCAGTATCCTGCGGGAACGAATGGCGTATGAACCAATCGTTGGTCACCGGCTACCATGGGACTGCATCTCCTTACGATGCTCCACTGCCTTGTGGGTTAGACCTTTAGGTCAAAGGCTCGGGGGGTGGCCCCCTAAGAAAACCACCTGCTTCGGTTTGGGCACCCGGGCAGTATCACAGCCCACACACAAACGATGAACTCTATGTCTTTGGCAACTACTTTTATCGCTCCGAAAAACAAAAACAATCAATCGATTCAAATAATTATCATTACTATTATTGTCATTATTGATACTATTATTATTACTATTATTGTCGTTATTATTATTATTATTATTATTATTTCCCACATTATTCACCCTCTTTCATACTTATACAGCGGCTCGGCTTTGGTGGAAATTCGACTGTATCTAAACGTTCTCGAGTCACTGTCCGGTTGAAAGTTGTATGTTACCATCGAATATGAGTACTGAAGCAGTTTTTCTGAAACCACGTGCGCCATTCAAACTGGCTGCCTTCAACGTTCGCACACTTATGCAGGTTGGTCAACAGATAGGGCTGGCTATGTCTTTGGAAAGTCTTAATATTGATGTTTGTTGTCTATCCGAGACCCGTATTCAAGACTCTAGCGAAGTACTACAAATTCGCTCTACATCTGTCACTTCAAAAAGCTTGTTTTACGTGCGCTTATCCGGGGACCCTGTGGCATCTTCGTCTGGTCTTGCTGGCGTTGGTGTCGCACTAAGCGCTAGAGCTGAGGCAGCACTAGTCGATTGGATCCCCATTAACAGTCGGTTATGTGCTGTTAGATTAGAAAGTTCCATCAAAGTGAGAAGAAATCGGCGTGAGAAACGATGTCTTTTCGTCATCTCCGCCTATGCCCCGACAGATTGCAGCCCGGATGCAATCAAGGATGAGTTTTACCACCAGTTATCAGTTCTTCTCCAGAAAGTGCGTTCGACAGATATTGTAGTACTAGCCGGAGACTTGAATGCTCAGGTCGGACGTCTAGGCACAGAAGAGAGTCGTTTAGGTGGCCGATGGTGACTCGTTGGTCGCAGGTCAGATAACGGGGACCGTCTACTGCAACTTTGCACAGACCACAACCTGTTTCTGGCTAGCACTAACTTTCGGCATAGTCATCGCCGATGTGCCACCTGGCGTCCTCCCTCTGCATCTCAAGCCTGGACTCAGATTGATCACATCGCGATCAGCTACCGCTGGCGTGGTTGTGTACAAGACTGCCGCTCCTTTTGGAGTACCTATCTGGACTCTGACCATGCCTTGGTCTGCGCCAATCTTGCCTTACTTTTCAGTGGACAACGAAGTGAACGCCATCAACGGATTGATGTTAGCAAGCTGGTTGCAACTTCTGTTGCAAGTAAGTATCGAACCGAGCTAGCCTCTAGGCTAGCTACCACTCCACCGAAAAGTATAGATGAGCATTGGTTGCAATTGCATGACGCCATGAAAATGGCGGGAACAGTCAGTTGTGGGTTTGCGAAACGTCCCGCTTTTAAGCACTGGGTTTCTTCTGGTTCCTTACAACTCATTGAAGCCCGTCGGTCTACTCCGGGTAACCGTGAGTTTGACCATAAACGAAGGATTTTACGTAAGGAAATCGGGCAAAGCTTGCGTAAGGACCGAGAAGCCTGGTGGTCGATGCGTGCTAATGAGCTGGAAGCAGCAGCTGCATCTGGTAACTACCGGAAGCTCTTCCAACTCATCCGAGCCACTGGCAGCAAGAAGTCTGGTGTGAGTGAAACAATCTGCGAGGATGATGGGATGCCAATCACTAACATCCATCGACGTCTTGGACGATGGGCAGAATTTTTCGAAGGGCAGTTCAACTGGCCTGCTGCTCCGGCAACATCGGTCAGACTGTCCTGCCCTCCATGGCCGGTGACGACTGATCCACCAAATGAGGAGGAAGTCCGCAAGGAACTCCAACTCTTGAAGCGTTACAAATCACCTGGCCCAGATGACTTACCTCCGGCTCTTTTTAAAGATGGTGGTGACTTTTTGACTAAGGAATTGACGACGTTGTTCACAAAGGTTTGGGAACTAGAGAGTGTGCCAACGTCATGGAATGAGTCGATAGTTGTCCCTATCTTTAAAAAGGGTTCACGTCGTTCCTGTAACAACTACCGGGGGATAAGTTTACTTCCGATTGCGTCCAAGCTATTGGCTTCCGTCATACTTCGTAGGTTGTTCAAAACCCGAGAAAGATTGACTCGCGAGGAGCAGGCTGGGTTTCGTTCTGGTCGAGGATGTATTGATCATATCTTCACCCTCCGCCAAATGTTAGAACACCGTCATACTTATCAAAGGCCAACAATCGTAGTGTTTCTTGACATCAGGGCTCCCTTCGATTCGTTGGACAGGACTGTTCTGTGGGATTGTCTATTGAAGAAGGGTGTGCCTGAGAAGCTTATTAACATCCTAAAAGCCCTGTATAAAAACACCTCAGGCAGAGTGAGGGCATACAACCACCTCTCTCCATTGTTCCATTCGAGCAGTGGGGTTAGGCAGGGTTGCCCAATCTCACCATTCCTCTTCAACTTTACCATCGATGACATTCTGGAAACAGCTCTGATTAATGTAAGTAATGGTGGTTCGGATCTGTTGCCTGGAGAAAGACTTCTCGACCTTGAGTATGCGGACGATATTGTCTTACTGTGCGATAATGCCCAAGGCATGCAATCCGCACTTAATCAGTTGGCAATCAGTGTCCGTAGGTATGGTATGTGCTTTGCACCTTCGAAGTGCAAAGTACTTCTACAAGACTGGCAGGATTCTAATCCTGTACTCACCCTGGACGGTGAGCAGATAGACGTAGTTGAGAAGTTCGTGTATCTGGGTAGCTGCATAAGTGCTGGTGGGGGTGTGAGTGATGAGATCAATGCACGTATAGTGAAAGCCAGAGCGGCTTATGCCAATCTGGGCCACCTTTGGCGCCTTCGTGATGTTAGTCTGGCTGTAAAAGGCCGGATCTACAACGCGTCGGTGAGAGCAGTTTTGCTCTATGCTTGTGAAACCTGGCCTCTCCGAGTTGAGGACGTTAGACGACTCTCTGTGTTCGATCATCGCTGTCTCCGAAGGATTGCTGACATTCAGTGGCAACACCATGTGAGTAATGCAGAGGTTCGGCATCGTGTGTTCGGGCACAGAGATGATAACTCAATTGGCATGAAAGAACATATGCACTACGTAATGCTGATTTTCATTCGACAGAGTCAACACTTTTGAAAACTTGTCAGCCAGGCAGTGATGCATTTAAATACTCTTGGCCATCTAGTAAGCCTCCTGTTCTACGTTGTGGACAGACTTTCGGGCAACAGATTCCCTATAGACACAAAGGACGAAGTCCGTACTATTCTGCAAAAATTGTTGGTGAGAGTTACTCATTTGATCAATGACATTGTACTTCAGGCGGTAAACAGGACATAAACCCGTAAGTCTGGTAAACAATTGCTGATTTTAGACCTTGGGTCGCGTCACTGGTTTTCTTAGGTATTTATTATGACCGAGGTTAAAGAAGTACCCTAAATCCCCCGGAGCAACAAGAATCTCGCGATATGTTCTTACTAATATATTTTACAACTTTAATAGCGGCTTAATGTGGACAAATGAAAGCTTTTCAAAGGAGAGAATGGCGATTAATAAAATTTGACAAATTAAAACCGAGTAGTCGTTTGTGATGCCCGGTATAAATATATCCGATCACGGCATATTTGAACAGTAAATTTGGGATTCATTATATTATTTGATAAGGTAACATATTGGTTTGTTAAAATATCGTAGTAGTGAGGTTATAAACTTCATTTTTTCTATAACTCCATAAACGAACTAAGAAAATGCAAGCGCACAATGAATAGCAACTAAAAAGAAAGTTTATGAACTGTTGTCATATAATTTAAGCCTTAAACTTTCAAGTTATGTGATAAATAAACCATTTTGACAGAAACCATGTGAAAAATTAGGTCTTTCATTGGCTAATATTAATCTCTGATAAATTGAGGAATTATGAAACGACAAAATGGTGCCACACCTTAACGGTTAAAGCACCTGACCCTTAAGCACCAGATACTACACCATAAAGCCTGGTATGGAATCACTAGTTTTTACTCTGAAAATGTGATTTTAGACTAAGTAGAAAAACTTTTAACAGGTTATCAAGACAGATAAATCCGATTATACTTATCATAATAAAACAAGTGGAGTGAAAGCTGTGTGCTCAGAGGTGCTTTGATTTTGTAAACCCATATGTTTCTTTAATTTCAATTTATTTCCATAGTTCAGCCCAATCTTACCATGTATATTTTTTTACATCTTTGCTGAAGAATCTTCCACAAATTGTAAACTTTGGAAATAGTCAAAGGTTTGGATATATCTTTGATAATCTCATTCAAATTTTAGTATGGTTAGGGTCTTTTCTCACCAATTAACGACTTCATGTTTTAGAATGAACACCTTAAAGTCCCACGGTGGTTGATGACCTAGCCACACCTACTAAGTCGTGAAAAATTTGTAAGAGTTATGACCACTCAAAGCTGAAGCATAATTAAAATGTCGTTGATTACCAAAACTTGTAGTTTTTTCTGTCACTATGAAAGTTTGTGAGTCAGATTAGAATTTCAAGTAACAATAGTGTTCCTTAGAAAAATACTTTGGGGCATAATCAGATCACTTACAGTAAATGCACAATCACGTGTATTATCCATCTTTTTATCATCAACTGTCGTGCATGCTTTTAGAGCGGATCTCCAAAGACGAAAAACTTCAAAAAGAAAAACTTCTTGATCATTATTAGCTTTACCATTTTGGTCGACTATCTACAATAATGAAAAGATATATCTGCTTAGGAAGTAACAGTCCCATGTTCACGAATAAACAAAATGGATTACTTTATTTTGTAAGGTGGGATTCATAATTTGAGTCGTCTTATGTGAAGTGTAAGAGATGGTCCCTTTTGAGATGATGGAGAAGATTTGTAGCTCAGGTGGATGATTTTGATGGGTTTTTGTTCTCTGAGCTGGATGGTCTGATCGTGGAGCTTTCATCGTTCTTCTGAACGACATCATCAGCACAAACTTAAAAATGGTCCCTTTCAATTATAATGACTGACGGCATGCATTCGTTTTCAACTTTTATCATGTGTTTTAGTTATTTAAACTTTCCAAGCTATTTATTATGATAGCTGTAGTTCCAAAACGTTCAGCAATAATAGTTTTTGAGATAAGTAATGAATATTAACAGAATCCATTTTTTGTGGATTCAGATAGTCAGAACCAAAATGTAATGTTTTGGCGAATTTAGTTTCAATTAATGATATAACGCCCATGCATAAGATATTGGAACAGCATTGCTATTTATGATACATTCCCTACAAGTTAGTTGAGCTTACAGACATAACATTATCACTATTAGCTTAATGTTTTAAAAACTTAAGTCTCAAGAATTGAGTAAAAGATACAAACAGCACTTTGCCTACTTGGGTCTGGATAGTCAAATATCTCTGAGAAACTATGGATCAAAGTCGAATACATGCACGAGTAATTCGCAACTGTGGCAGAAATAATCAAAATGCGTCATGAGGTAAGCCCTAACTTGTAATTCTAAAGACAAAAAGAAAAGAGGAAGACTCAACAACACATTGCGTCGAGAACTGGAAGCAGACATCAAAAGAATGAACAGCATTTGGCAACATCAGGAAAGAAGCTTAAGAAAGAGTTGGAGAATCCTGGGCGGCGTCCTATGTTTTACGAGATGTAACAACCTACATCTGATTGGTAAAAGGTTATAAAACATATTTTAGCGCTACCTTTAAATTTTCATTTAGCTGTACTTCTACCTCACTAGTGAAACTAGTATTAATTGAGATTCAAGTACAGTATCTGTCGGCACTAAAACCAAATAATCATGCACTAACTACTCTACCCGAGTTAAATATACTTTTTAGACGAAATTCGGCAGCAAACTTTCACAAGGATTTTAAGTATTAATTTGAAAATACCCTACATGTCATTGGATAAACAGTTCGGTGAAGTAATCTTTTTCAATAAGTTCATTCTTAGGGCTGTACAACCGTATATCAATAATAATAAATCAATACAGGGAGGAAAACCAATATTCTTATCATTCTCTTGATATTATTACATACACAGACCATTTTTATACCACTGTCATAAGTATACACCATCTTGTAGTTTTGCAAACTAAAGAGATTCCCTCACTAAAATTAAAATAAACAAAGGGAAGTCTGAATCGTACCTTATGAGAATGGATGAGATATATATTTGCCATCTTGTTAGAAAATTATCACCTAACCATCTTGCCAAAATGCTTCCATCACAAGGGTAAAAACGACTGTTTAAAAGCAACTAGAGTATTGAAATGTACTATTTATTGTTTTGATGGATATATCAACTTTATCCAGGGACATTTAAAACAGTAGTGAAGACATAGGCAAAACTCAGATCAAGGTCTGGTAAAGGAGTATTTTGACAACATACCTTAAGTAAGAAAATGGGTTCATAAGTAAGATAAGTCGTAGCACTACGTATCTATTTTTGTTCACGTCGGTATAATAGGGAGATTAATTTGACAGCCATAGTGATATTATTTTTCGTAACAATTTACCAACCAAAGATATGCCAAAGAAAGGCAAAAAATACGAAACACTTTTTAGAAACTACACAATAATGTATATGTTTGCACTTACGATATGCTCAACGAGTTCCTTAATTATGCTTCCTAATTTGTTCCATAATTCACTAAGATGATAAAGTAGTAGCACAGTTGATGAGTTGTCCTTTAGTATATCTGATATAAATTCAATGCAAATGCATATTGGAAATGCCTTGGCAGTTTCAGAATCCTCTAAAGCTGTATTCAGGACGCGACCAATCTTAAAAAAGAATTGAGAAAAAAACATCTGAAATATGATTTTATTTAAAATTACAGAGATATCCACTCACCTTAAGAGCGTTTTGTGCCAAACTGTTTTGCTCATCAGTTATTATATCCTTTTCGGATTCACTTTCGATACATTTATGCGGATTGAGTAATGCTTTGAAAAAATAGTAAGATATTATCCCGTCAGAATTTACGAGCGTAGTCTTAGATGACGTCATAAAACGGTCAAGTATCACGCTGATTAGCTCGGAAAATTCATCTTCAGTAAATTTCGTTACAGTGTCTAAATGATCTTCATCGTTAGATATGTTGCAAAATGTTTTGCATGCAGATCTAAAATCCTTCCAGTATTTCAGCACCTTCCAGGTAAAACTGTCACTATTAGGGGGACATATTTCGCTCAGTGATGACTCATAAGACATGATGTAAACTCTTGGTTGTTCATATGTATATATATATATTGGATGTTGAGACTGATGATATATAAACTATTAGTGAATCACTCGAAAAACAGTTTCCAACACGTTATTTGTCTTCGTAGAATCCCAAACTTTGAAAGGATATCATTTTAAGGCTGACAGAATATACTGTATTAGAATCATTTTCAGATCATTACCAACCAGGGAAATATCACTGCCAACTAAATAAACAGCTGACTTAGGTAAACGCCATATAAACTAGCATATCAAACTTAAAGTACTAAATGCCCGAACTCAATGGCATGTTAAAAAAGTTAAATCCTTCCAAGGTCGCCCTCTGGTTCGTTTCAACAACCTTGAAGGGAATGACAAAAGACGGCCATTCCGTATTTCAACTACTGTTTGTTCAGTGTCCGTTGGGTTGTACGAATATCAGGTATTCTTATGTTTAAGTGATCTTTTGCTGCAGCGAAACCACAAACACTGAATACCTGTGCCATCTTGAACACTTTCTATAATAACACAACAATTTTACTACCTAGACAAAACAAACAGTATGTACAGATTCAACGAAGCCAGATTTTAATTAAGAATCATCAATAAGTAGATAAGACCTTAGTTTCTCCAATGCTTTTTTGTGTAGTATTCTTCACGATAGAAAATACGAATCGGAATATGATAAAGTATGGAGACATGACAAAAATTGTTTACTAGAAGAAGTTCTTCGTAGTAGTACTTTTAACTTAACTACATTTCCAACTTGTAAACTGATTTTTCTACATCAAATGTTGCTTTTCCTTTACCAGTATTAATGATGAATCAATAAACTATTGACTAGTTTTTGTTTTGATATTTTTCGTAGTTTTATGAGGAGATATAACGATAATCTGTGTGAAAATTAAAAACAAATAAATGTCTGCTTTATAAGTACCAGTTTCGTTACGAAAAATCATAGTAATGCATCAGTTTAAAAGTCTCGCTAGAATGTTGCGCTGCATACATGTTTTTTCATCATCGTAGTACCATCGGGTGGATACTTGTAGTGGCATTGCTTCCTAACCACACGGTCTTCGAAGCCAAGCATATAATTAGTTGAAAGATGTATATTCGACATGTAACACCTGGAGAAGGTCAGCAATGGTAGACGTGGAGTCATTCATTCAATCGGATGGCATGGCTCAGCATTGCAGACGTGCTCATTATGTACAATTTATTACTATTCACACTGAACATGTTATTCTATCCCCAGCACAAATGTGTTCTTCAGAAGTACTAAGTATCATTGTGAATTGTCATGAGACGTAGAGTAAGTGTAGACAGTGGTGCAACTTCCACGTCAGATCTTACAGATTACACGATCACATCATGACAAATTCACCGTTTTGGGATTAAATCTATTATCAAAGTAGTATCAGTACCGAAATAAACTATAATTCTACACACTAACAAGATTTGTAGTGCAAAAGACTGAGTATATATAAGAAATTCATTAAATGAATAAATGTGACAGTGTAGGGGCATTGGACCATAACCACACAATCTTCAAAACTGAACACAACACTACTCGGAAAATAGATATTCAATATTTAACACGGAGAAATACCTAACGATGGAAAAGGCGGGAACAATGAGTTGAAGGTACTGGAGTTGATCGAGTGGCATGGCTCGGCCATGCAGGCGTGGTCTCCGCTGAATGTTACCTAATATCTTCTATTCATATTAAATATATTGTTCTTTCTCTAGCCTAACCTTGTTCTACATCATGTATTGGTAATTGATACGATACACTGAGTTGGTGTAGTCGATGGTGTGACTTCCAAGTAAGATCTTATAGATTAGGCAGTTGTATCATGACAAATCTACAGATTTAGGATTAGGTCTATTATTAGAGCAGTACTAATATCATAGTAGACCATAATTCTACATTGGTGAGCCCGACTAGAGAAACGCAACCTATTATTGTTAATCCTTATTTCCACCTTAACTTTCTCGATCGATTTTATATTTATGTTAACCCAGTATTCTAATAGTCCCCTGATTAATGGTCACATATATGATCGTAATGTTATATCTATTAGTTCACATAACTTACTAGCTCGATCGATAATAAAAGTTGATCATCTATATCAACTAATTAGTTTTAATGGTTCGTTAACAAGCTTTAATAGCATTTACATGCTTCAGCGACATAGACTTGTTTAAACATCAAGCTCTAGCAAATATGACCTGTAAATAGCGTAAATATACATTGACTAACAATGCAATCAAGGATTGAATAGTTATCCTTCGCTTAACACCTCATCCTGTTTTAAACTGCACTATCCTGTAATATCTTTTCTTCCGACCACTGCCTGCCTAATTTCATATTCTCGAGTTCCATTGCCAAACAAAAAGGATGACACTTCTCCAAAAAAATACGACGGCTCATTCGATGGCACACAATTATCTGGATTCATCCAGTTGTTCTGATCTGAGCGAGTGACAAAAACGTCAACGGCATCAAGCACCCTGGAAGTGATTGCCATACTGCATGTTTTATTCTGGATGCTTTTGGATCATTACTACTCCTCACGAATGGCGTTATATATGTTGTTCATTGAATAATCTAATTTTCAAAAATAATCCAGGCGAGTTCAACTATTTTACTGGATGATTTTTTTGTACTTAACATGTATATGTTTTCTAGTTGCTTTTGCCACATATTTGTAAGTGTCCCTAGGCTAAATGCAGTAACTTCTTATGGAATGTTTATAACGCGTCATATTCCTGCCTGAAGTTTCATAAGCAGTCTTAACTTTCAAATTATTTATCTGGTCATGTTCATTATTTTTAAATTGCCATATACACCAACAACTTGCATGTTAACCTGGCCCGTACATACGTTGCACTATATCTTCATATCTTTTGAATTTAGAAATCATCTGAACCGCCTTTAACATTTATCAATAAACCCATCATAGTCGTTGTTGCTAATCGTATTTGGGTTTATGGATTGGTTTATCATATTAGCAGCCTAAAATGCGAACATAGTTTAGATAACAAGATTAAAAATTTAGGTACTGTCAACTGCACTAGTAAAATAACTAAATCCCCAGGTAGTTGTTGGCTAAACAAACGTTTAAAATCAAAACTCCGTAGCCTACTAAAATTAACACTAAACGAATATTTCTGAATTGAAATTTATAATTAAATTAGGCGTCTCGGATTCTTTAACGTTATAAGTTTCTGATAATTTCGAATCACCTAAAGCAACAATACCTGCTTGAATATCTGGGCTACCTGTTTCTGCCATCTGATTATTTCAACAAGTTATCAGTTTTTATTTGTTTTAATTTATAATTATGTCCATTAGTCGCATAACCTATTCAGGCGCTTTTATGAAAAGCCTACGACCTTTCGCTGCACAAGTTAAGAAAAAGTACTATAAAAGGCATCGTGGTGGTTGGCAATATGCGTTAAAGAGAATGAACATTAATCGTATGTCGATTCCCGAGCTTCTTAATTCTAACTGCCGATCATTAATCAACAAAGTGGACTATCTGCAATTCCTGCTTAGTCAAAATACGTATCGTAATTGTGGTGTCATCACAATTCAAGAATCTTGGTTGAATGATTTACAGGATGACTGCCTTGTATCACTACATGATTTCAAAATTTATCGTCAGGATCGATCGAACAATAAAAAAGGTGTGGTGGCGGTGTAGCTACGTTTGTAAACATAAACTGGTGTCGATCTTCGTCTGTGTGTTTTAAGTTTTCAAATGACTTGATCGACTGTCTAACTCTAAGATGTCGTCCAAAACATCTGAATAAATACAAATATGTTTATGTTACCAATATCTATGTCACTCCAGATCGCACATCATCTGCACTATCTGTTTTTGCTGATGAATTCACTGAGTTCGCTGTTACTGCCTTCAATGATTCACTTTCAGTTGTATGCGGTGATTTCAATTCATGTGACTGTAGCTTCCTTACGTCACTAGGTCACCAAAACGTAGTAGATTTTCCTACTCGTTTGGATGCTCATTTAGACTTCGTTTTCATTAATGATGTGGGTATATATGCGACTCGTAAACGTGCTCCATTGTCTAGCTCAGATCACTGTTTAATTCGTGTTCTACCTAAAGTATATGGAAAGCATGGGAAGAGTACACTCTTACATCAAACCAAGAAAGTCAAATATAGGAATTACTCAGAAGAAAATATCCGAAATCTAAAAAACATGTTTCATACGACTAACTGGGAATTATTTACAGATGACTCACTCGAAAACACTACTGATGTTATGACTTGTTACCTTAAATTCTGTTTTGATATTTGTTGTCCCACTGAAACCATTTTTGTAAGTTTTGATCGGCTTACATCTTCACAACTAAAACGACTACGGAGGATTAAAGAAAGAATGTACAAAGAGAAGAACTCAAATGAAGTTCGTAAACTAAATGGTCTGATAAACTCAGAGATTAGACGTCTCAACTGCATGTTTACTTAAAAACTCTTGTCTTGCAAAAACTCTCCAAGTATGTGGAAACTCTCCAAAGAAGTTACAGGTGACAGACAAAGAGCGATAACCAGCTGAATGTTTGTGACTTAAATAAGTCTTTTGTACGTCAGTCATCTGATGTAATGCTCCCTTCATCCACAGTTTTAAAGAATAGCTGTGGTCCTAGTTTCACTGAAACTGATGTCCGAAGATGTCTTCAATCACTTAATTCATCCCGATGTTTAGGACCTGATGGTATCCCAAACATCCTTTTTAAAAAATGTGCTGACGTTCTGTGTCATCCGTTCACAACTATTTTTAACAGATCTTTCTCATTTAATCTCATACCAAAAATGTGGAGAAAGATGAAGATAATTCCTGTACCCAAGAAAGCATCTGGTGATAAGAATGTAAAATTTAGACCTATTGCAATAACTTCACCTTTCCTCAAAACCATGGAAAAATTATTAATACTTCCACTTCAGCCTGCGATAAAAGAGCATACTGACCCATACCAGTTTGCATACAGGCGCAAAAGAAGCACTTTAGATGCTGTTGCAGTTCTGCATCACAACATAGTGTTCAACTTAGAAAAGGGTAAGAACTATGTTCGATGTGCTTTTCTAGACTATACTTCAGCTTTTGACTCTATACCAAGACAACGTTTACTTAACAAGTTAATCAGCGTCAACACTGACAGCTGGATAACCAACTGGCTGTGTTCCTACCTCTCTGGAAGGGAACAGTACATTGTGTTTGGAGGAAAGAGTTCAGATTCTCCACTGTCTCAGGAAGGTGTACCACAAGGAGCTGTTCTTTCACCTCTTCTA